GTCAAACAGAGTCGATTGACTGCCGCCCGGACACCATCCAGTCTATGGTCCAAGTAGGGGTTTGCTCCTGCCAGGAGAAGCCCGGGAAAAAGCACGACTACTTTGTTGCATTTTGCTTGGATACTAGGACTTTAACTTTTTGCCAACTGATGGGGTGTCCATTAATCCACTAAACAAAGTTGTTTTAGCGGGGAGCAGAAAGCACCCGAGAACAGATCCCGATAGCCTTTTGGAATGTAAGGAGCCCTCTGTCGCAAGCGCGAAGGACCGGCACTTTGAGGCTGATCCCTAAGACGGGTGAAGAGATCCGGATCGAGGCGAAGAGCGATGGACCAGCCGTTTGGCCGGTTTGTTGGGGGCAAAACCAAGAGACCCCAGTTGGAGAGGATTTCAGTCGGGAATGACCCAGAGTGTTGGGAATGAACCTAGGAATTCTCTTGAAGGAAGCCATATTATATAGGGGATGCTTTGAGGGGTCATTGCCTCATTCCCTCTTAAGTCTTTCCTGCCAGTTTCCCCTGAACAGTGGCTGTGCATATTGCGTTCATCTTTCCTTGAGAATGGTTGATTCGGGTTGGCGGGGACTTCGGCATTCCATCTATGAGCCATTTGCCCTTTTTTCCGGAAGACTGGAAAAACAACTGCATTGGCAACCTTCTTTATACGGAATTTCCTCTCCCTCCCTGAATTCACGAAATATTCAACAAGCAAATTACAAGCTGTTTTGGACACAGCGCGAAATGCAGGAAGTCTCCAGTGCATCTGATTTCGGGTGTTCGGCCGGCTGTTGCTTTATTTGCTTCTGGCGTGATTGTTTGTGTTTTCTCTCATGGAAGGCTTTTGAAGGGCCTCTCATCGGGCATACAACACAAACCACAAGCAACGGCGTGCATGTTTCCGATCGGTCTAAATGTCCTGTCTCCACATCGGGCCTGATCTTCCCATGGGAAGCGTGGCTCAGATGCTTTGAGCGTGGCTCATGGAATTGAGAGCGAACATTGATCAAACCATTACCATTGTTGACTAGCTCTTGGAAGGGCATCTGAGGCCCTTTCACACATGCACTCATGCGAGCCGAAAGTCCATCTAAGGTGTGGTCCTGATTCTAGATCCTGTCAAATTTCAAATGCATGTGGGCTGTTTGAGGATGCCCTTTTTGGGGTGTTTATATGGGGAAACCAAAGCGAAACATGATGTTGGAGCCCCCTATTTGAACACACATCCCAATTGTCCACTTCCAGAATCTGGAACATGTTGGTGCTTTGGGCAGGTTTGCGAGCAGTTGTTCATCCGTGCCAGACTTGCCAGCAGGAATACTTGATCAATATGTTCGCGTAATCTCGCCTTGCACAGGTGCAACATGTCATTCTAACTCTTCAACTCCTTCCGAAGGTTCTCCCCCACTAAGAGTGCTGCCCATTTGTTCAGCAAGCATGTCTCAACTTTTTTTGCTCAGGGCATCCCTGTACCACATATGATATAGTACAAGCAATATTGTACATTTTGCATTCGGCAGCTGGGCATTTCTGCTGATATCCCCAAGGTTTGTATTCAGCACAACATCTTTGTGCAGCAAAAGGGACGTTTCGACTCGGAATTCCTTGGTGCTCCAGTCACGGCATTTTCCCAAGCGGCACCCAAACGTCGACCGGAGCCTCCCCGCGAATAGGCGGCGCCTGGGAAACTGGTGCTCTTCACCACCGAGCGTTTCAGGCCAGCTGACAAGATCGATTTCCAGCCGCTTGATCGGCGAAGCCGAAAACCCCTAAAAACGTGAATGCTTGCGGGTGGTTCTACTGGTCTTGTGTGGCTATAGTAAGGCCGGTGCAAACCGGACAGTACTTGGACATGGAGAGAAACAGGGCTGAAAAGGTGGACATAGTTGGTTCCAACTGCGTGCCTTTGCCTTTTCCTTATGTCATATTCAACTATGAAGGCGTTTGGAGGTTCTGCATGTTACTGTCGAGACGAGGGATGTCTCGCACAGTCCGATTAAAAAGCATCAGCTTTTAGGTGAGTTCAATGTGATTTGTCAGCAGGGGTGATGGTGAACTCAGAAATCGACGGAGCCCTGATATCAGAGGTAGTTACCATGTGCATAAATGTTAAAGTGCCCCTTTTTTGGAACCCGGCAGGCCCCCGTATCGGCAAAAAAGGCTTTGGGCCAAACGTTGATTGGCCTCGCATTGAACAAGTGCAGGAGACTGGAAAGGGCAATCCCTAAGCGGGACTGGTGTCCTTGCTTGGCTGAGTCTTCGATTGTGTTTCTACGCAAGGTTGGCAGAATATGAACCAGCGTCATCTAAAACATCTCATCCTCCTTCCAGCAATCATGGAAGCAGACGGAAGGATTCGGAAGGCTACTCTTTCTTTGTGAAGGCCCTGTCCACTTCCATGCATCTTGGAAGGAGAGTAGTTTTGGTGCACGTTTTTGCTGGATAGGTAGGGAATGAACCGTGGGATTCCCGAACAACGGAAATTCACAAATTTGGTGAATTCCAAAAGGGGTCATTCCAATTCGGATTTTCAGGGCCCCTGCCTATGGAGGAGCCAGCAACGCAACTTTGCTGGAACCCCCGGCCGCCTGTGGGTCACGGTCGACTCGACTCACACGGATAGGTACAGCCACACTTGCGAGGGCGCCACCACGACTTTGCAGACCTGGCGACTTGGCCGAGTCCATGTGGTGTCCATGGGGGACGGCTTGAGTGGAGGTTGAATTTCGGGGGGTACCACTCAACTCTCAGATCAAAAAAAGCAATAGTCCCTCTATGTCGTACTCATTGAAGTGGCGGGAAATAATTAACGATAAGCTAAAGGTATCTTCAAAAGTCTGCATCTACTGGCAAGTATGTACCTGGAGTCTCCATGACCCTTTAACAATTGGGTCATTACCCAAAATAATGGGATCATGGACCCATGTTTTTAGGGTCATTGAGACTCTAGGTTACAAGGGGCACCGTTTCCCCAGAGCGGCAAGGGTACATTAGAGACGCTTGACCCGCGTCAGGCTGCTTGGGCAGTGCCCACAGTATATGATGCAGAGCTTCGGTGGCGACATGACGGTGCCCGGGATGGGCAAACAGGTCGCCTTGGTTGGAGTCTCCTTCTGACCCTCCAAAAATGGGTCCATGACCCTCAAAACATGGGTCCATGGCCCTCAAAAAATATGGACCCTCAAAAAATGGGTCCACGACCCTCCAAAAATGGGTCCATGACCCTAAAAAAATGGGTCCATCACCCTCAAGAAATATGGACCCTCAAAAAATGGGTCCACGACCCTCAAAAAATGGGTCCATGACCCCACGATTTTGGGAAATGACCAACCATTTTTGAGGGTCATGGAGGCTCCAGGTGGTTGGATACCCACCAACTAACAGTGTACCTGACGTTCGGGGGGTTCTGGTTTGGACCATTTTCCTAAAGGCCCTCTGCCAATTTCCATGTTATAGTTGGTCGTTGGATCCCAAGTTTTAGCTTGCCACTTTGTGCGAGCGGATTTTTTTTCGCTTTTCTCCTGTGACATTTTGTGTGAATGGGGATGGTTGAATCCCACTTGCTCATGTTTTTGGGCTATCTTTGGAAGGCCATGTTAGCGGCAAACACTTTGGAGCTTTTTGAACCGCACCACATGGGACTAAAGGAAGCTCCGGGGACTAAAGGAAGCCAACCTATGGAGGTCCTTGCTTCAAAGGTTCCCTGAGTTCCCGTCTGAGAGTTGTATTTGTTCCAGAAGGGCGGATTCAGAGCGAATTTAATGATATCGAGTGGTTTCAAGGGGCTTGGGCTGCTATTTTCAGTTCAGCTCATTTTGCCTGTGCAGTTGATTTAGGGCAGTGTAGACTGAGAGAGACCAGCTGGTCGGCTTTTAACTTGGACAAACGGGAAACCTCAGGTTGGCGAGCCTTGAGTTGGCTATGATTTCAAGCAAGCAACCGGGGGTTGGTGTCAATTGCGCACGGAAACTTGTGTTTCCCTGACAGTGGTACAGTTTTAACCTGAGGCCAATTTTTGTTTGCAACAGTGGCGGTATTATGCAAGGCTCGGCTATTGTTTGGCGACAGTGGTTCTAAAACCCAGCGATCGGAATTTCAGGAAGTTAGCCAAATGCTCGCCAAATGCCCGGGTGTTGGATCAAACTTGCTGTAGAAATTCCTGGTTTCTTAAAAAGTGTCAGCTGAAAGCGTCTTTGGCCAGGGCTTAGGAGTGGTTCGGGGTTAGGAGTGGCCTGCTAGGGTTGCGGAAAGGCTCCAGGGGTTGATGTTGGGGTTTTGGACAGTGAGTGGCAACTGAGATCACTGAGAATCGTATCCTTACATGAGCAACTGGCAATGTTTGTTGCTGCTCTAGTGTTGGGAGGACGAGAAGGGGGACGACCCAAACTTCGCACTGAAATCAGGTGAAGGCACAACACATCCAAAGCAAACACGCACACACACACATCCACACATGTCACATCCAATGCACGCCTTCGCCTTCTTGTTTGCCAGGTACTGGCTCCGCTAGCAGAGAAGGGCCTGGCCCCACCCAAGGCCTTTTGGTCGTCGCGGGCTCCGGGTGTAGGCGGTTTTCAGGGACATGAAGCGGGTGCCCCGCGAAAAGGAACCAATCTAATCGCAGCCCTTGCTCGGTTGCAACCGGCTGTTTGGTTGCTTGGTTGCTTGGTTGATCGGTTGGTTGGCCGGCTGGCTGCTTGACTGCTTGGCTGCTTGGTTTGGTTGCTTGGTTGCTTGGTTGGCTGGCTGGCTGGCTGGCTGGCTGGCTGGCTGGCTGGCTGGTTGGTTGGTGTTATTTGTTGTGCTGGTTGTGGCAATGTTGGTGAATTCACCAAGTGCAAGACCCCCCCAAAGCCACCCCCTAAAATCATAAGGCAGTCTCTGTCTGAGCATATTCGGGGCCAAACTGGGGGCTCAAATGAGGCATTGCACCCACAGCAGGGCTCAGCAATTAGCGACAGAAGCTGTAGTGAGGACAAGCCGGATTACGCCGTTTTGGCTTAATTAAGCCTAAAATGGCCTTAACTTTTTTGGGGGGGAGTGTTCTAAGCTGAGAGGGGTCGCTTAGAACGCACCCCCCCCCCAAAAGTTAAGGCAAATTAAGCTTAATTGAGCCTAAGAGCTCGGATTGCCTGGAATTGGCGTCAATTGATTGAGTCTTTTCCTTCACCTGCAAGGTCTGACTGCCCTCAAAACCAGCGCATGTCACAGTTGCCAGGGCTGGGCAGGCTCAACAAAGCTTAATTAAGCTTAATCAAGCCTAATTAAGCCTAATTAAGCAGCATTCACATTTGCTTACCTAGGCTTAATTAAGCTTAATAAAGCTTAATTAGGCTTAATTAGGCTCAATGAGGCTCAATTTGGTCCAACTACTTTTGCCAGCCCCAACATGATCTTAACAACTTGGGGGGGGGGAGTTTTGCACTTGGTGATGAATGCCCATTCTGTGCAGGGATCCTTCTATTCAGAAAATTGGCGACGACCCTGATGGCTGAAGAGAGCAGGGGGATCAACCAATGGAACTTAAAAGCAGCCAACCAAAAAGGTAGATCCGTACAAGTCAGCTCTGAATCGGCGCGCCTTTTTCGAGTACCTTTTGTTGGTTCCAACGAACCCTTTCGGCTCCCTTTAAAGGAAATCATAAAGGGCATGAATCATTCTGTCGGTTTGAGAAGCAATAATAGCACCCAGTGCTGATTCGCGCACGCTTCTAAAAAAAACAAAACAAAAAATATTGGCCCGTTGGCTTTTGCCTTGAAGCCATTTTGAGAATGGGCTCGGTTTGGGCTTGGGCGCTAATTGACCCGACCTACGGAAATCGGCATATGCTGGGGCGACAGGTGGGAATCCACCGCAAGCCGCAAGGGCAGGGGTTTGCTGGGGGTTTTCCGGACCTTTTGGGTGGGTCAAAGTTGCGCATCCCGAGTTTGTAGGAGATGCACATCAGCTGAGGTTGAGTAATGGCCACACATGCGCGAGGTGAGCAAAAAATAAGTCGCAATTAAAACCTGGGTAGATAATATGGCTAGCAAGAACCTGATCTATAGATAATATGATTAGGGGACATTCCCAACCATAACTTTCTTCGGCCGCCCATTTTCAATTGGTACAAGCCGCCCTCTGGATGAGTTGCATGATTTGGGTCGATGTTTTTAGTATTCGGCTGGATTGGTTTGACTCAACTGAGCTCCACTGAGAAAAAGGGAGGCCTACTACAAGCACCAGCCAGCCGAGGCACCTGCTTTATCTGATGCTATTTTGGTCTCGACCCAGATGTCCCCTCCGAAAGGCTCAATTCCCCGAGTGGGCGTTTGAGAGCCCAAGAGGTCTTTACACCGCGGGTCGGGAGTTCACAGAAACGAAGTGTAGCGTGCCTAGCATTCATTTTGGGCAAACCGGTTTTCACGCGGACGATCAAGCTTCGAGCATCCCAAATCGCAAAACGTTCTGGAATGGGCGTGGGGTAAGGCTGGTTTCGGGGTCCTCAAAACAGCTGTTTGAAGGGTTGAGGTTCTCTGGTTCATTGGAGGCTGCGAGCGTCTGGGCTGAGCTATCCTGATGCCTTCAGGGAGAGAACGTGATGGTCACCGGCATTGCGACATGCATTGGAGGTGACTCCAAGGACGGAGTTTGGCTCGAATTTATTCTGCTGCTTCGTCTTAAAATAATCCTCAGGCCTTTGCGCCAGCGTTCTGGTTTCCTTATGGTGTCAAGGTATTGTGGATTGGATCCCTTCCCATTTCAGCAATTTGTTTCAATGATTTCCTTACCGCTGATTCGGGCTAGGGGACGATGCCGCCCTTGTTTGGCTCTTTACATGCTTGTGGGTATACGGTAGGCGCCGTACATGTCAGGTTTGGATCATGACTCCGGCAGCTGAACTCATTTAGCTACCAAATAACAGATGTCCTGTTTCCTCGAATGCGCAGCAGAAAGGTTCCGTTTGAAAGGTTGGGGTCTGGAGGCTAGAGCATCACCAAGATTCGCTGCGTTGACGACTGCGCACAATCCGCGAAGCGTTCGCGAACTGTGCGCAAGTGTCGCGCGCGCCGTGCCGTTCGGGAAGGAACAAGCAGCGCTTGGAGTGACTTGGGAAGCGCTGTTTTTTAATGCGAGCGTGTGCGTGAATCGTAGTTTTTGGGACGTGAAGCGTCGTCTCATTGTGCAGGCGCAGTGTTTTGGAAGGTTGCGCGTTTGCGTCGCCGTGCCATTGTGAGTTGCGGTCGTTTTGACTCATTTTGCGTGGCAGGGGCGCGCAAGCGTTTGCCCGAATGTCATTCTCGTTGGCCCAGTCATAATCATTATGGCGCCACAGTCCCGCGCCAATTGCGGATACGCGTCGTAAACGTGTCACAGCTGCGCAGCACTTTAGAGCTTCTTGCAGGCGCAGCACTTTTGAGCTCGCGCGGATTGCATGGCAGGCGCGGCGCTTTGGAGCGCTTTGGAGCTTGTTGTGCTGATTATGTGGCAGGTGCAGTCCTTTCATTGGTCGCGCGTCGAATGCTGTTGCAGGCGCAGCACTCTGAAGCATCGAACGCCGATGCAGCGGTTTGGAGATTTCGCAGTACTTCGGGAGCCTTGGAACGCTTCTGGAAGTTGTCTTCGGGGTATATCTTTGCGGAACGTCTTTCGGTGTGTCTTTAAGGCTTTTGGGGTGTCCGTGGGGATGTATTCAAGGTGAGGTCTTTGGGGAAGGTGTCTTGTGGATCTTCAGGGATGCCTTTCGGGAGTCTTTGGTGGCGTGGGTGTCTTTGCCGGTGTCTTCGCTGGTGTCTTTGCGGTTGTGTTGGGGGATGTCTTCCGAGAGTGTCTTCGGGCAGTTGCCTGTGTAGATGACTTTGCGGTTGTTTTTGGGGGGATCTGTGGGCGTTGTCTTTGGGAAGTCTTTGGGGGATGCCCTCCGAGGGTGTCTGTGGGGTTGTCTTTGAAAGGGCTTTTGTGGGGGATGTGTGTGTGTGGGGGGTTCTTGTGGGAATGTCTTTGCAGGCGTTTCTTGGGAGAGATGCTTGGTCTCTTTCAGGACGTCTTTGCGGCTGCGGGTGATGTGTTTGGGCATGTCTTCCTTTCGGTGCTTTCGGGGGTTGTCCTTGGGGTGTCTTTGGAAGTGTCTTTGTGGTTGTTTTAGTTGACGTGATGGAGGGTGCCTTTGGGAGTTCCCAATGCCGGTGTGTTTGACGGCAGTGACGGACATTTTACTTGAGGTTTGTCATTGCGGATGTCTTCGGGGCATGCCTCCGAGGTGTCTTGGGGGGTGTCTCCGAAAATGTTGGTTGGGGATTTCTCTGGTGGCTTTAGGGTGGCTGTTGGGGATGTCTTTGGATATTTGTACTTTTTGTTGCATATCTTCTGGGGATGTTTTCCCCCGGTTTTTTAGGAACGTGTCTTTGGTGCTGATTTTGGGATTATGTCGGGGCGCTTGCGGGGATGTCTCCGGATATGCGTTGGACATGTCTTTGGGAATGCTTTGTTCGTGAGGGTATCCTTGGGGATGGTTGTTGTGCAATGTGTTGAGGAGTGTGAGGATCGCTTTCATCAATGGTTGTAGTGTTTTTCAGTTTAGTTATATAAGTGTCTTTGGGAATGTTTTTGGGGCTGTATAAGTCTGCATTCGGGGTTGTAAGTGAGGGGCCATTCTAATTCCTTCAGGCGGCAAGAACCTGTCGCCTATTATTCGAATGCGTGTCCATTCAACACTTGTTTTGCGCCGCAGGGAACATGCAGGAACAACTTGGTAAACAAACAAACAAACAAACAAACAAGCAAACAAACAAACAAAGAAACACAAATAAACAAGCAAACACACAAACAAGCAAGCAAGCAAGCAAGCAAGCAAGCACGCACGCACGCACGCACGCACGCATGCAGGCAGGCAGGCGAGCAAAGCAAGCACGCGAGCGAGCAAAGCAAACAAGTTGGCGAGCGCGACTGCAGCTAATGAGCAGATTCTGGCCAAGCTGATTCGACTCTGGCACATAGCGGCACTCCCCGACAATCTGAAGCATCACCATCGTGGGCAACCTCTGAGAACATTTCCTGGCTTCCAGGTCAACAGCATCCACTCTCCAGAGATCCCACTGGAAAGCTCAAATCCCCCTTGAGCTCCTTGTATTTCATGAGTTCAAGGATTCCAAGTACATGGTTGAGAGTCTCAGGTTAGTGTTTGGCAGCTTGAAAACACCCAGAAGAACCTTCCCGCGCCATGAGGGTGAATATTTACTTGCCCAGTGGAGATTGTTGCTGCATACCGGCCTCACCGACGACGTCCATCAGTGAGCTGAAAGCTGCTGCGGAGCAGCATTTCCAGCGTCGTTTGAAGCTCACTGCGAAAGGCCATCTGCTCCATTTGTCGGCAACGCTGAGTGAGGCTGGTTTGCGAGATGGGGACGTGGTTGCTGCGGTTGTGCAGCGGGAGCCGTGCCAACTGGCCGCTTCTGATTGCGCGTTTGCTTTGCATGGCCACGGGGGTGGGGTTGTGACGTGGGGTGATCGACACTATGGCGGAGACAGTAGCCAGGTGCAAGAGCAGCTCTGGAACGTCCAGCACATCAGAGCAACTGAATCTGCTTTTGCTGCCATTCTCGAATCTGGGGCTGTTGTGACCTGGGGTGATCCACAGCATGGCGGAGACAGCAGCCAGGTGCAAGAGCAGCTGACGAAAGTCCAGCACATCCAAGCAACTCTCCATGGTGCTTTTGCTGCCATTCTCGAATCTGGGGCTGTTGTGACCTGGGGTCACGCAGACTGCGGCGGAGACAGCAGCCAGGTGCAAGAGCAGCTGAGGAACGTCCAGCACATTCAAGGAACTGCCGGTGCATTTGCTGCCATCCTTGAATCTGGGGCTGTTGTGACCTGGGGTGATCCAGAACGTGGCGGAGACAGCAGCCAGGTGCGAGAGCAGCTGAGGAACGTCCAGCACATCCAAGCAACTAGCTTTGCATTTGCTGCCATTCTTGAATCTGGGGCTGTTGTGACCTGGGGTCGCGCAGACAGGGGCGGAGACAGCAGCCAAGTGCAAGAGCAGCTGAGGAATGTCCAGCACATCCAAGGAAGTGCAGATGCGTTTGCTGCCATTCTAAAATCAGGGGCTGTTGCAACTTGGGGTCAGCCACTATTCGGCGGAGACAGCAGCCAGGTGCGAGAGCAGCTGAGGAACGTCCAGCACATCCAAGCAACTCGCAATGGTGGTTTTGCGGCTATTCTTGAATCTGGGGCTGTTGTGACCTGGGGTCGCGCAGAATGCGGCGGAGACAGCAGCCAGGTGCAAGAGCAGCTGACGAACGTCCAGCACATCAGAGGTTCTTTGGCCGCTTTTGCTGCCATTCTTGAATCTGGGGCTGTTGTGACATGGGGTCTCGAAGCCTTCGGCGGAGACAGCAGCCAGGTACAAGAACAGCTGCGGAATGTCCAGCGCATCCAAGCAACTACCGGTGCATTTGCTGCCATTCTTGAATCTGGCGCTGTTGTGACCTGGGGTCACGCAGACTGGGGCGGAGACATCAACCAGGTGCAAGAGCAGCTAATGTTGAATGTGGGGCCGTTGTAACGCGGACAGCGAAAATCTGGGGCGCTGACAGCATGCTGAAGACATAGGGGCAGGTGATTTTTACAGTTGGATTGGGTTTCCAGAGTGTTGCAAGATGGGGACGAGTAGCAGTCAATGATATTCACCATATTCACCCTCACTACTGTAGAAAAGAAGATTGTCATGCGGTGTGGCTCTTTGAGGGTGCCCGATTTTGGGCTTGCTTTAAGGAAGCCACAAGGAAAGCGCCCATTCGGGAGGTGCCCACAGGAGAGCCCATGTTGCACATCCAAGTTTCCCAAGAGAACACGGAGGCGGTTTCGGCGCAGTTTTCACCGAACCAGGTTTCAAAATCCGGGAGCTGTGGGGATCACCTGGCGGCTCGTCGGTTTGGACCCTTACCTGACATGGTAGCTATGAGACGCAAATGAGCCATAGAAAGGGCATGTGCAATTTTGTCTGGGCGAAATGATTCCCATGGACTATGGCGGTGGACCCTCTTCCACGCAGGTTGGCTGGGAAAATGTGTGTTTTGCTTCAAGCAAAAAGTGTTGCTCGCCTTGCAGTCAGTTCAACCGGAAGCAAACTAGAACTCAGGCACGGCTCAGGGTCTGCATTGGACTGACGGGTCATCCTGTTTCCTTTTAAAGGGACCGTCAGGGTCCAGAAAAAATGAAAGACCCTAAAGCCTAAAGCATAATTTTAATTTTCCGCAATAGAGAAAGCAGAGCATGTTTTTTTTCATTTTACCGGCATTTTTTGGGCTTGCCATCCCCTGAATATACAAAGATCTCCGCCCCACCGAAGTTCGAGCCTCCCCTCTTAAGAGCCCGCAGGATCACAAGTGCTACTGGCTGATGTTCAACAAGGCCGGACAGTTCTCCGATTTCCGGAACACACTCGGCAGACGTCCGGACGGGGGCAAGGGTCTTTTTTCTGGAAGGGACATCAGCTTCCCTCTAAGTGGTTGTTTTGAACTGTGGTTTGGTGGTCAAGGAGGGGTTTGCCATGGACCTTCTACAATGACCGGAACCCCAAATCACCGATTTGAGGGAGGCCAACCACAGTGGATGGACGCTACCAGTTTATGCCAATATTTGAAGGGTTGTATCTTTATCCACAGCGTGTCCAGTTTAGATGCTTAATTTAGGAGGCAAGGATGTAGTTCTCACCTGAGAGACCAGCTCACCTGCCGAAAATTTGGGGAACCCGCCAGCCCGTATGGAGGTTGCAAACCTCTATTAAGTCGCAAGGAGTTGCTCAAATTGAGTCCCGCCCTAAGCAGTATGAGTACGGATGGATCTTCATTTACACTAGGCTGAAGAGTAGATTGACAATTTGCCTTCTTGTGGGTAAGTAACAGGGGATGACCAAGCCAACATGGGGAATTGTGCTGTCAACCTTCGCCCAACTGTAATTACATCAGAAGGGTCCTTATTTAGGGAACCAATCAACCTCCCAACATTTGAATTTGTGGGTGTCCAACACTGAGGGACCCCTTCCGGATTGTGTTAACGCGCTGCACCGGCATGAATTTCCTGTTCAGATGGAACCCCAAACAAATGTATATTTGCGAACAAATGCTTTCGTGACTGTACCCAGCACCTCCCTGGGCTTTCAAGTGAAGGCTACCACTTTCCTTGGGGTTGGCGATATGAGTCCCTCTGATCATTGAACTCGGGCAGACCACAGAGAGGCAAGCTTGGCGGTTCCCAGCCATCCGGTTCCTTAGGTTTTTCTGTTTTTTTTTTGTTGGTTTAGTGGTTGGGTTTCGATTGAACCCACAAGTGAGTCACTAGGGGATCTGAAAACGGACAGAGTGAATTTGATCACATCCCGGAGCCATGAAGGCAGGCACCGACACAGCGGTGCAAACACCCATCTCGCGCAGCACCCCCAGTTGACGGGGACGGAGGAAACACGTTGCCGAGCGCGGCCGCGCGAGAAGTGGACGCGTGAACTTTTGTCATTGGCAGGACTGGCTCAACCTTTTTGCCCTTTTGCCCTTTTGAATGTCCTTCTTCCCATTCAAACAACAGGAACCTAACTTCTTGCAGAGGGTCTAAGTCTGGCCCAGTCTTCTCGACCTGACCGGGCCGGACCTGGGATTGGTACTATAGTATGTTTGTACATTTCTCCTTCAGTTGCTCATGCCAAACGAGGTATAGCCACATACCTATCCACGGTGACAGACATGGTGCCGCCTTGCCTGATTGCTGGTTCAACGTGATGGATTACTGGCAGAATCCAATGTCGGGTGGGACCCAACGGCTATTGTCCGTGGCTTCCAGGAGGCGCAATCAACATGTCCAGTAAGTCATTGGGGGGGCCCGGGTTGGACAACCATTGGAAAGCAATATTGTTCGACCATCACACAAACAAATGAGAGAGAGAGAGAAAGAAAGAAAGAAAGGAAAGGAAAGGAAAGGAAAGGAAAGGAAAGGAAAGGAAAGGAAAGGAAAGGAAAGGAAGGAAAGAAAGGAAAGGAAAGGAAAGGAAAGAAAGAAAGAAACAAATAAAGAAAGAAATAAAGAAAGACATAAAGAAAGAACAAAAGACCGAAAGACCGAAATAAAGACAAACACACAAAAACAATAAGGAACAACTAACAAAATAACGAGCGACATATATATATATATAAAGAAAGAAAGAAAGACATATCATAAATAGATACAGAAAGACAGACAGGAAGACACAAACAAGGAAATAACTAAAGAGGCAAGCAAGAAAGCAAGCAAACACGCAAACAAGCGAGCTTCAGTTTATTGGCTCAGAAACTGGCTAGTGATCGTAGCTCACTACAGTGCAGCGCCGGTGCCCAATGTAGAACTTGTTCCCTCTCCCTCACCCATGCTGGACACAATCCTGCACCAGGGATTGATGCAGAAATTTATCAGCCAGTATTTTTAGGGCTTCATCTATCCAACTGTTGCGAAATTGATTTTGCCCATCAGAACCGCAAGTGGCCTGAGGCTGGGATATCAACGAGTACACTGCAGATCTCCCGATGCAAGTTCCAACCTTAGGTCCAGTTGGCTGCGATTTGTTCGCCTGACCGGGGTGCTTAAAGGGGATAACACAGGTTCAGTTTTGGCTGGCAGCGAATCTGTTTACGTGTAGATCAGCCAATGAGACATGGCCTTTAAAAAAAAAAGTCTAGGACACTTAAGAAAATAACATGGACGCAAGTCACACTTTGAACATGGAGGTAGGTCACCAAATTCCCATATTTGTCGGAGACACAGTGAATATCGACCACGGCTCATTGACCAAATTTGACCGACATGTTTCATCCCTTGCAAGCCAGGACCCGAGGATGTGTGACAGCTGCAACATGAGGCATTTCCTAGCCTGTTGGGAACGTACTTGTTGGGATCCTTTGCCGGTGCCGATTGAGGGAAAATGAAGGGCACCTGGTAGGGGTTCCTCCACTTCTGTTTGTTGGACCCGCAAAAGTGGCATGTTCATTGGACATCACCGGTAACTTGCAACTTTTCAAGGGGACATCCAGTGACCCCTGGTCCAAAATCGGACCTCTTTCTTTCTCACCACTGACGTCATGGTCTTTAGGAAGCCGAAGTTGGCAGTCTGACATGGTTTTGGGTAGCCGAGAAACTAGCTGGAGTTCCACAGGAGGTTGGCCGAGCCCTTTTTTGGCTTGAATTGACTGCCGGTGTCCGGGTTCGGGCGGGTGCGCACCCCTTTTTCTGGCATCCCTTTGCACTTTGCAACAGTGGCCATGTGGCCAGGCGGGTGGGAGTAATTGCTTTGGCCAAGGACGCGCAGGCGATCGGCAAGAGCTACACTGCGCACCAGGCGGGCTCACAGAAGTGCAAGCGCATTTGAGGGTCTTTTTGAGGGATGAAGGAAGCGCTCTGTCAATGGTGTAACACCCAGCGCCCAGCGCTCCAGCATTATTCCGCAATCATACAAGCAGTGTACCTTCCCTTCAAACCATTTTTGGTTTGGATGCCGTCGTGTTGGGAAGCCAAAGGAAACCCGACCAGGCAACTGATTGCCTCCATCCAGTGGTTTGCCGGAAAGGGCCGAAAGGGGTGGATCCAGCAACGATCTCAGGGGGCCTCAAAGAGGGATAGATTCCCTTAAACTGGGAACCCAATTTCCAGGGAGTGTATCAGAAAAAAACTCGCTAGCTTGTATGGTGCCCAATTGTTGGGAATAAGGTTTCCTGATTTGATGGCCATTCTTGGGACCGACGTGCTTGAAGGAGACCGCGAGGAAGCCAAAAAGGAAGAATGAACCGGGGGCCGGCAAGCAGTACTGGGCCACGCAGGAACCTACCGAAATGACGACTCGAAGAGTTTTTTTTTGGGGGGGGGACAGGCCCAGTTTGAAGCCGGCCAGTTTGTTGAGTGTTCTCTGTAGACCCCCTCCACGGCAGCACGGCACGGCATAAGTCGCTCACGGGCTTTGGCATTTGAAGGTGGCGAAAGGCTGCCACGGGGCGCGGCCTTTTTTCAGGCTGCCCCTGGTTTTTTGTGGTTCTAAAAAGAAAATCACCAGGAAACCCAACTTGTTCGGAGGGGTTTGGAGGGGTCCCCTAAAAAGAGGTCACGCACTGATATGTGTTTCACGCTCTCAAGAGGATCAAAGAACGTGGCGCCGGCCCAACCGCTGCTGTGCCCTGTGCATACTGCATCACCCGTCTTTCAAAATCTGTCAAGATCCGAACGACACAAAATGCAAAACTTCATATGTGCCCATTCCATGCTTTGAGTCTCAGTACAAGGAAGCAAAGGGACACGTTTTTTCGGAGGCACTTTGGAGAACTCGCTAGTTTGGAACCACAACCTGCTGATGTCAAATAGGGTAGTCCTAACGACCTTCGGCTCCTGGCCTGTCAGGCCCTCCAACTGGAACAACCTCTCCCGACCCCAACACCCAGAGCCTTGGGGGACAACTCCCTGGTTTTCCGATTCAGGCAACCAAAAGTACCCGACGTGTTTTTGTCAACATAAACTAGGAGCCGCCCAAAACCGGTGGTTTGGCCTGTAACCCAGCCTACAAAAGGGCAATTTCTCTTACATAAACCCATCATATTTTGGCCGCATGTGTCGCTTCCTGTCGCGGCTGGCGCCGTTGCTGGGCCCCAAAAGCCGGCGCTTCTGGCGGCGCTTGGAGCTGGTGAGGCCGAAGCCTTCGACGCCGAGCCTTCGCAGCGCGACCGGACAGGTTCCGTTTGCTTTCGTGGGACATCAAGTGGCATTTGGGGGTTCCACTTTGAGACTCACCCAAGGTTTGTCCTGTTTTGGAGAAGGAACCCGCCCGTTTTGGGCTTCCTCCGGCCCCCATTCAAACCTGACCGCCCAGACGAGGCTGTTGCAAAAGCAGAAGGTGCCACTTTGAGAAACACAAAAGTTTGTCTCTGTTTGGGTGGAAGGAAGACAAACGCAGAAAGCCATTTGAGTGCCAATGTAAAGTGCTTGGCCCCAGTTAAATCCAGGGAGCGCCTCGAACAGGGGACAAGATGAGTGGTTTATTTGGGGTGGCATTGAAAAACACCCCCCAAAGGGTGGGGTGGCAACAGCAGACAGCAACCATTTAGATGTGCCACATGGATATGACCGAGCATGACGGTCCCCTCTTTCGATATCCTGTTACATCGTGAGGTTCACAAGCAGAATCTGATGTAGTTCGGGGCAAACGCTGGAGACGAAGCTTTACTTTTGTTTGTACACATGTTTGCTTCTTTGGGGCGTTCCTTTCTTTTCTCCTTCAACCAGCAACACCTGGAGGGGGTCGACGTCAGCGAGGGTTTCGGTCGAGCCAAGGCGGACGTGCGAAGCTGGGGACACTGGAGCTGAACTGGGAGCTGCTAGGCGCGAGGCCATTCGGGCGGCATGCGAACAGCATCAAGGGGACCCCTGGAAAGAGGGGGACTGAGCAACTCGCTAAAAAACAAACACATAAAAATATGGTGTTTCAAACTTTTTGCAGTACATGTTTGGGCATGCTCCCCGTTGTTTTGGCACGGCTTCTAGTTTGGCCTTCGGAGTATCCCTGCCCAGTGGCATATTTGGTTTCCTCGGGTCTTGCGGCAAACTGCTCGGGGCCTACCAAGGAACCCTCGCAGTAGGTGTTTTTGTTTCCCCCCATAGCTTGTTTGGTTGGCTCGCGTCACCTTGGGACCTCGCGGCTTTGCAGGTTCATGAGTTCCGTTTCTGCTGCCAATATTTGCGGAGTATTTCGCGAGTTCTCTCGCCATTGGATTTGCATATATATATATATATATACATACAAGGTGTGTCTGGAAGGAATCCATCACTTTTGGAGAACACCCCCCATGTTGGTGCTTGAGGTTGACGAGTTGGGAGGGGAATACATTTTAGCCCTTGACGAAGACGAACAACGAACAGATTCAAATCCTAGGTGTGAGGTTCAACGTTGACCAAGACTCGGACACCTCCCGTTTTCCCAGGCGAACGCCCGGAGGTGCCCAAGCTGCGAACTTGGAAAGTGGGGATGCGTCAGCCCCAAACTGGCTTCGGTTCTCCTTGCGGGCTTCCTTTTGACCAGAAGTCCCCAAGCCTCCGAAAAGCACACACTACAACTGGGCGGATACTCCTTCGGCTTAAGGTGGGCGTCTTGTGGGAAAGACCTGGGCAACTAGAGCATGGGGAGGGTTTCAATTTTTGTTTGTCCTGGTTTTGGCTTCCATTTGTAAGATACAGCATCCTCAAAAAACAAGGCGTCACCGCCGTCCATTCAAGGGGAATGGCCCTGGGCAAAATGGACGCTGTACCAGTGAAGTATGACAACAGGTAAAGGTGGGTCACTATAATTAGCGGACAGTGACTTGACGCGGAGGCCGGGGTGTGGCACTTAATTGTTTGTTGTTTGTTTCTGTTGCCAGCCTCTCAAAGCAAGGTTTGGCCAATTGCCTCAAACAAACTTCCATTTGGTTCTGCTTAGAGGTCAGGGTCTGGTCTTCTGGTTGTAACACCTCTTGCCTGGTGTACACATTTGTTCGGCAACATGGGTCCACCTGGGCGCTGCTCCGGCCGAGCAACTCAGGTTTGCGCCCGAAGAATGTGTCTTTTCGCCCGAAAAGCGTTTCGGGCCACTTTATGTGGTTCGATTCCTACCTGGTTTAGCACGGCCGATAGAAATTGCCAATATCAGGGTAGAAAAAGGTATCTCGCCTCTGAGTTCATGAAGGTTACAGCAAGGCCTCTATAAGTTGGGAATAGTATGCCATTGGTACTCACTGCTTTTGGGGGGCAAAAATGCTGAACCATGTTTGAGCGGTTTTCCTTGAGATTTTTTTTAAGTCGCCCAAAAAGGCTGACCCATGTTTGTAGGAAAACCAGCCGTTGGGTGACACCGTCGCTGAGGTGGTGATCACCCCACGGGGCCAATCAGATCTCAGGGCTGCCCAGAGCCTCGGGGCTGCCCTCGCGGGAGCAGGCGCCAGATGGGCTAGATGCGCCTCATGGAAACCTGAAAGCTGGTTTCCCAGTGTCCCTTTAAAGCGGTATCCTCCAAAAAGGGTACACCCGGGCTCAAAAACATGCGCAGTGTTATTCTCTTACGATCATGACTGAACTTGGTTGCAACCCCCAAACCCCATACTTAAGGCCGTCGCAGTACTTGGCCGCCGAATGGTCTGGTACATGGGGGCAGAAACCAAAGTGCGGTTTGGTGGTTTCCCAGCTAAGGGCCATCGCTTCGAAGGAAGCGTCCCAACCGTTTGATTTTGTTGGAGCTCAACCTCTTAAATCAAATTTCCGCAGGCCTGGGTGTGCTTCTTTGGGACCGGCGCGGCACTGGCAGCTCGAGCGTCTGGGCGAGCTTGACGCAGCCATCGCTGCCTGAGCAGGAGGCCCCAAGAAAAACAAGTCCAATGGGTGGACTTTCCAGGTTCGTCTCGAAACAGGGTCAAAGACACAATGTTTGGGAAACGCCCTTGTTTTTGTTTTCCTGCAGGCTGAACTCGGAATGAAGCGAATCATGAGAGATCAAAAAAAAACATAGCTCGTGTCGCTGGGCGCCTTCTTTCCTCACCCGTCGCCCTGCTGTGTTGAACCAATGGTCCGCGCGAAGTCACAAAAAGCTCAGGGGCTGCATGTGCCCTTCGAGCAACTCAGCCGCCTATGCAAATGGCATCCAATGCCAACAGGCTCACGTCTACAAACTTCCAGCCAAGGACTTTAGTCATTTTCGCGAGGTGGAGGACCTCAAGTCCTTGCTGGACTCCTTCAGTCCACAGCCGTGCCCCGTTTTGCTGGGCCTCAGCTCCGGCGGTCGCCTCTCCGCGCTCTTCGGGCGGAAGTACCCGGAGCGCACCAAGGCGGTGGCTCGAGCGCTTTGGCGCTTCGTTGGAAGCGCGGGGCCGGCGGGAAACCGGTGATTCATTGAGTCAGAAACTGGGGTTGGGTCCGTGGAAAGTTAACTTGAGTGCTGACTTTGCCCTTTTTCGGGGGGGGGGGGGTTTCCCTACTAAAATAGACTACAGCAAAAAGGATACCCTTATTCTAACCTCTCTACTGGAGGACCTAGCTAGATTCTTTCTGAAATATTGGGTGCAAGAACACTTGCCGGGGTACCTGTAGTTCCCCTGCGAACTGTCATTGTGAATTGTCACCTCAAAAACAGGCTTAAACCGCTTCAAAAGGCGGGGTTCATCTGCAAAGCTACAAGGGTATGTGTCAAAGAAAGGGGGGCCCTAAACAAAAGGTGTTACTTTTGTTTCCCTGTAAACCACCCTGAAAAGAGTACCCAAGAAACACAAACAACCTGTTCATCAAACTTAGTTTGATTCCAACGTTGGCGCAAACCTACACCAGCCGGAAAATGGTGCCTCTTGGCCAACCCATGGCAACGACGTTGACGTCATTCTGGTTGCCGAACGGTCAGAACCATCTGGCAGAACAAATGTGGGTTGCTTTGGTTTGCCTAGGACAACGTTTGCTTCAAAAAAAAATCATCCAAAGTCCCAGAATCGAGACTGGTCTGTCATGAATCATCGCTTGTGCGGTGGTTTGCCCCCGGAAAGGGGGCAATGAGTTCAGATCGATAGGGCCTGTGCCTGCTGCCGACTGGGGATGCCAAAGGCATAGCGCAGCGTTTGGCGGACGCTGGGCCCAACTTGGGCCGAGGGAAGCCTCCTGGGAGGATTTTCAATTTGTGGGTTTGTGCTTTCTTTACTCATTCCAGGCTTGAGTGACCTTTATCCACTTTGCCCGTTGGGGTTGCCTTTTTTTGTGTCCCCACCAGCCACAAGCTAGCTTGCAGGTCTGGCCGCCCTTGTTTGAATTCTGGGTCCAATGACCCGATCCCTTTCTGGAAACCGGAGTGTTCCGGGGTTAGCTGGTACGGACGTACATGGAATTTATCTGGAGCCCCCCCCCTCCTGAAATGTTGCTGGTTTGCTCTTGGATTCATGTCAATAGCAGAGGTACCCTCAACACACACACACACATATTGAACAGTTTGAGGCATGTATTCGGACTTTTCGGCGTTAGATGGCGTTAGGCAACCTAAAGCAGCCACCCTGTTGCACTCACGATGCAAGCTTTCACGCAAGCAACAGGGGTAGAGGTAGGATTCGGTAGGATACACGTTTGTTTTCGCTGGTGAACGTTTCCTGTTTTGTTTGATTAAGAACAAACATGGCACGATATAGACATTATATACATGCATGTGCAGAGAACGAGAGAACGAGAGAGAGAGAGAGGGAGAGAGAGAGAGAGAGAGAGAAAGATGCACGTAGCTACGCAGATTCCTGCCCACATTTGCAGGCACGCGCATCCAATTCATAGATATGTACACCTGTAGACATTGCTATGTCTGTTCTTCTCCCCGTATCATTCATAGATTCAGGTTGACCCCAATTGGTGGCTTGGACGGGTGGTTGGGGACTTGAACTCCTGGTTCTTGTAGGGGGTAACTGGAAACCACCCCTAGCCTCCAAACCACCAACCAAACTAGCTAGGGGGTCAGCTGATATATGGATCAGATCTCAGCTTGAGCTAAGGACGCCTACTACGGGGACTACGTGGAGCTAGCGGAGCAGGGGGGCATGGAAGCTGTGGTGAATACGGCGGCCAGCCACTTCAACGGCTTGGTGTCAAGAGAGGCCGAGCACAGAATATCCTCGAGTACCAGGTTTTTTGATTATGACTCACTTAAGCTAGATGGTTGAATATCCAGGTGGAGGGTTGTCAAAATTGGGGGGCCATTGTTCGCATGCCCTTAAAAAGTCGGCACAAGGCAGCGTCTCACATGGGTGGATGTGTTTGACATCCAGCCAAGTGATTTCTTAACGATGGTCCTATTTCACAAAGTAACCCCCGAAAAGAGAATCTTGCAACGGGATAAAAGTAAATCTTGCTTTCTCCTACCCAATGCTTCCAGGTAGTCGGTAACCAGAGGAACAGGGGACTATTATTCAAGAACCTGGAGGTAAGAATCCCTGGTTGCCCCGCTTGTGGCTTGCCTGGAAGCACTCGGGCCAGAGATGCTCTCTCCCAGAAGCACAACCCTTTATAGTTTTATACCCTCTACATAATGTGTTGTAGTGGTTGTCCCCCCCCCACTTTCCCTTGTGTAGCGGCTTGGCTTGGGGGTAGTGGACATCTTGGATCCACCGGCACCAACTACCCTTAAAGGAAACCGTAAGGGATGGTTCATCATTCCCATTCATTCCCTGAGAACCAGCCAGCTTCCAATTCACATGGAACCCCAAAAAGGGGTTCCCATGGAGATTCCCCCACAAATGCAGATTTTTGGGTTGAGTGTCGGTCGGGTGATAGGCGCTTCTCCGAGTGGACGCCGCGGAGTTCATCTCCGCCATGAATGCCTCGCGCCACTTCCTCGGCAAAAGTCCAGGCGCCATGGCATTGAAATCGGTTCAACCCGCTTAAGCCATGGTCTTCTCCACTACGGTTCAATGGATGTTGAGCGTAAAGCACTATACATATATATCTGTTCAAACCACTATTGTGGGAGGTCAAACCGCTAATCAGGCTTGATCCAAGTTTGATGCAATGTCCTTTCAGCTTTGTCCCCCTCATCGTGAGGCTTTTGGTGCTGAAACCAAGATTTGAAGCACCTACTGTGGAGGGACAACCTCCCTTTCGCAACATTGGGCAGCTGGTCTATCCCGGTATTCATAGGGCTTCATTCATCCCAACGGTGCGAAATGGTTTTTGTCCAGCCAAACGACTCTTGCTCCTAATTGTTCGGCCCTGACCGAAGGCCAGGCTCTGATTGGACCACCTGTTTCAGCAAGGCCAGCCACTAGGTTTTGCTGCCGCCTTCTAGGTGCTAAGTCGTCCAAGTTGCTTTCATTTAGACCCTCTAGTTGAAGCCCCCAATGAAAGAGCGCCCAAGGTTTGGTTGGCTTCTAGACTTGGTCTGAGGGTGCGATTCTTTCGGCCTTATCAACCGACATGCATTTAAGTCTGAGGGTAAAGAAGCCCGGTCAACCAGATCCGTGCTTAAATGGGAAGCCAAATCCAGTTGTTTCATGGACCCTCAAACCAGCCTCATACATTAGATATCCCGGATACCCTCACACATGTAGAAATCAGCGCCCCAAAGAGCAACTTTCTTTAGTCTGAGATGTTCGGAGTTTTGACTTAGGAGACACACAGTTGTGGAAAGCGGGGGCCTTTTCCAAGGTGGGATCCCCGTGATCAAGTTGTCTCCGGGAGGGACGCCCGTATCACTTGCAAATTGCAACCTGAGGGACGCCCTTATCACTGCAAACCCGCAACTCGTAACCACAACTCGTAACCGCTTTATCAAGGACCAAGATAATGTCTACGCCTACGCTTGTGACAGGGTTTTTGGAGCACCCCTGTTGTGGTGCCATTAAGGTTTGTGTCAACATCACGGCGCTCCCCCACAAAAAAAGAAGAACGAAAAGCAAACAAGGAGAAGAGGTAAGTTTCTAGGTCCCCCAGTAGTGCCCTTTTCCCCTGTTTTGGGGGAGGGTTCCCCTACTAGAATAGACGACAGAAAAAAGTTGGTACCCTTATTCTAACCTCTCCACTGGAGGACCTTGGTTTGTATTTGCTGTCCCTTTAAAACCACCCAAACTGGGCTCCCCTGCCAAAACGCGAGCCGCACCCACTTGACCAAGGCTCGCCTTTGCTGGGCCTGGGCTTGGAGGAGCTGAAGGAGTTGCAGGGCTGCCCAGGTGAGCAAGTTGTGCGCGTGTCTTCGTGTTTGTGTGTGTGCGCGTGTTGTTCGGGGACCCTACCTGTACTGCTGTTGGGTCGGATCTTTAGACGTCAACTTTTTGGACACCAGCAAAAGTTAAACTTTTTGCCGGGGGATCTACAGCACCCAAGCTACCAAATGGCGGCTTTCCTGGTTGCCTTTAAAAGTCACTGGTGGGTAGTGATTGTTTTTAGGGGACCCCACAACATGGCTCCGGTTTTCCGCTTGGTTTCCCTTTAAGCAACCACAAAGATGGGTACCCTCAAAAAGAGACACACCCCAGGGGTGATTAGGCTGGCATACCACTTCAAGAAGAAACCAAAAAGTTTAGGGGAGAAAATGACCACATCATCTTTGGGGTGGGTCTCCCTCTAAACAGGCCGATTTACGGTTGATTTTTGTTGGATGGGTTCATTCAGACGCCAAGGACCCACTTCTGACCTGCAAAATCCACCGAGGCCAAAGCCGACGCTGATCCTGCATCACGGGCTGCAGGAGCCGGAAGCTGCGCGATTTCTTACGGCGCATTCCTGGTTCTGGTCCGTCCTTTGGCCGTTTTTCCTCGGGTTTGTGAGTCTGGTTGCTGTTCTTGATGGCATGGGTGTTTCTCCAAATCGGACCACCCATCCGGGTGGCTGATTCCTTCTAGCAATGAAGGCATCCAAACAGGGGGTTGTGGTCGTTGTGTCTTTTTTTTTTCCCGCTTCTCTGGCTCAATTCAGTTTCAGCCGGTGCTGCAAAGAACCTGGAGGGTAACACGAAATTGGTTCGGTTTCCAGTTGTTTCCCTGGGACCAAATTCTTGTTTGGGCTTCCGTTGGGAGCACCAGGAACGGTTCAACGAACTTGGGCCAGCTATGGTGTACGGGGATTCTGATTCGCGGCCCACAGGAGATGCTGTCCCATTTTTGGCAGATTGCAGTTTCAGTTTTGACAAGTATGCGCGGGCCAAAATATAAACATGGAATTCATGGTTGCTGTTGCTCCTTGAGGCAGTTGCTTCTTGATTTCAGGGGAGTGTACGGATTCTTCCAAGAACCATCAAACAATGTATACTTCCAAGAACCATCAAACAACGTATACTTCCAAGAACCATCAAGCAAACAGCTGTTTTCCCTTGATGGTTCTCTGGTTCAGACTGGTCAAGTACTGCTCGCACAGGACGACCACCTCCACACGCTGGAAGATGCGCAGAACTTGGCCAGACACGTGCAGGGCCAGCTGGTGACTCGGCGTAAGTTCTCGCTCTGAGCCTCTACAACTACGTCCCCCAGTAGTGCGCTTTTACCTTTTTTTGGGGAGGGTTCCCCAACTAAAATAGACTACAGACAAAATGGTACCCTTATTCTAACGTCTCTACTGGAGGACCTAGACAAGCTTGCGCTGTGTATTGCCAGCAGTTTCCATAGCTGGTTTTCGACCGAATCGCCCCTTTTTGGACCTATTGGAAACACAGGGGCGTGTCTTCTTTTAGCCCCCCCGAGCCGCAAGAAAAGGGAACCCTCAAACAAGCTTCATCTACAAAGGCTACTTGTTGGTCAGGGGGCTTGCAGTAAACAGCATGGCCAGCCACATTGCCAGGTGTGTGGGTTTGTCGGCAGGGGATCTTGTACATCAGGCATCGTTCGGCAACCCTTGGGGTAGTCAAAGGCTGATTCTGTGGACCCAGAGATGAATCCGTGTTGTCACTGGCTTCTGCGGTGGCGGTTATTTCTAATCTATGGTTGTTTTACCAAGAACCTAGGTCTGGTTGCCCTCTCACCGATGAGCATGGGACCCAACAACCTTCTGGTGAGTTGGTGGGAGAGTACCTGGCTTGATACATTGAGCCTATGCAAAGCAGAGAACCTGCAAGGCCGGGAAGTAGGCAGCGGGAGATCCGACGGACGCGACTGAGCTTTCAGAATCCGTTTTCCAATCCTTTGAGGTTCCGAGTTCCAACCTTCACGCCCGCCGACCAAACACACCACCCGCCCCCCCCAAGACCCCTTCCTGGAACGGCTTGGAACGGCTAAAACAGATCAACGTTGGAGGTGACTTTTGGGGGGGTGTCTAGGTTTGTCTCAAAAAAGGATTCGTAACCCAAAAGTTGTGAGTGAGTTTCCCTTTGGTTTTCCTTGAAGCCACCTCCATCCTCACAAAAGATACACCCGCCTTTTGGGGCAGAATCGTGGCACACCTCAAAACCGCCCCCAACAGAGTCTCCACACCAACAAAGACACATCCACCAGGTAGTCGAGGAAGACCTGGATGCCTTGCACACGAAGCTCGCCCACTTCGTCATGCGGTGCTAGAGAGCCATTTGGGTACCCCCAAAATGGGGAGGCTCAACGTGGCAGGTAGCAGCCTTTCTGGCTGCTAAATGGCACAAATACTACTTTCTATGAAGGAAGACAAAAGGGAATGGAGATGTCTCCCGATTTTATGAAACAGGCTCCTCCATTTGGCAGCCAGCACAGTGCTCCAGCAGGTAGAGTCGGCACCTCCAGGATCCAATTCCTGGCATGGGCCAGACAAAAAAGAAGGGCGCAGCCGTTGCGGTGGTCCGGCATCCTCGGTTCTAGTCCTAGATGGGCAATGCTGCTCAAAGACTTGGGCCTTTTTGCCTCGAGAGGAATGACATTGAGACTGATAAAAGGAGCTCAGAAAAGATGCTTAGTTCACACAATGATCCCTACATGTTCCTGGTTTTTAGCGATGCTGATCACATCTTTGCCAATTTTAGTGAGTTTCCCTTGGGTGATGTTTCTTACTTGAGCTTGGGTTTATCGGGCCAGCTGGTAGACTCGTAGGCTTTCTTGCCATCTTTCCGGGTTTTTCTTTTGACCCTTCCAACCGAGGCCCACCTTTCGGCCGAAAAGTGGACCTTTCGGCTTTGCAATAGGCCACTGTTGCGCAGGTTTCTCTTCGGCTTCTTTGATGCCTGGAGTCTCCATGACCTTGAAAAATGGGTCCATGACCCCATTTTGGGTAATGACCCCATTCTTGAAGGGTCATGGCGACTCCAGGTACTTCATTCTAGCTGTTCAGCGGCAGTGTCAAAGTCGCTGTTGGTGGGTTTGCAACCAAAAACTGCCGGTGCAAAAAGGAAACATTCCAATTCTATGGCTGTGGGCTGGGCTTTCTTTTTGCAAGTTCGGAGCAAGCCAGGGTTACGTGGACGGCATCGAGTTCTTTGACAACAAGTTCTTCGGTATCTCCGCCGGTGAGGCACTCGACGAATGAACCCACTTAAAGCTCGTCGTTTGTCATAGTTCCCTGTTGTGGTTTGACCGCATCCGTGAAAAACACAGAACAGTGACCACCCTACGAACCCGGGGCGGCAGTCTAATTGTAACGTCCCTCCGGATTGATCTGACATCATTTCTAGTGAGCAGTTCGTCGTGGGACCACCCCGTATTGATTTGGATAAGCCATCGCGATACCTGAAGTCATTCAAGCTCTCCGAGGGCTCAATTTCAGGGAGAGTTTCCTTGGGCTTTGAGGGTCGCATTGAAGGCAGCCATGGGGTTGCTGTCAAAACTCGGCGATAGCCCCGCCCCCCAACACGAAGAATGATGTCAGGGCACCTTTTTATGAGTTTGATATTTCGGGCCTCGTTGAGTCGCAGCACGTGATGACACCTTAAGATCCCTTTTGTTAGGGACATGATTTTCTCACCATCCCCCATGTTTGACTCGTTGTGTTTGCGTGAGAAAGAATCCCTCCGGACTCCTTGTGTTGGTTTCTTGTTTAAAGGGGTTGGGTGTGCCTCAAGCAAGACTCCTTGTTGCATGCATCATTCTAGGCATGGTTCTGTGTGCTTTTGTTGGGCCAGTGTTTGTGTGATAACGGGAATCAACAGCTTTGGTTGTCATGGAAGGGGCGATTTCGCACAGACAAATCGCGACCACCCACAGGTTTGCTACCGAGGGCTCCCCTCGGGTTACCAGTCGTTTCCGCCTGTCAATGACACCTTTGCCGGGCAACGTTCAGCCCCCGATGTGGCTGGGCAGCTGTCAATACCGAGGGAAAGCGGTTGTACGGGGTCCCTTCTTTTCTCGGAACTGGGGTCCGTCCAAAGCATTCCTTGGAAAGAAATCCAAGAAGCGCAAGAAATGGTTGAAGCTGCTACGAGGCTTGGCTTACGTTTGCTTCCGCCCCTCAAGTGCAAACCTCAGAAAAGTACTTTTCCTCCCCAGACCTTCCAATGACCACGGTTTTGCATTGTTTTTTCCTGGCCATCTATTGTAGTGCCTTGCCTAGAAGCACTCGGCTCATGAACCTGACAGCCATGCCCATAGTCACTGGTAACTGGGGGTCGGTTCCCATGGCCATGGCGCCAGGCAAAGTCCATGGATCCCAACCAGCGCAAGGCGAGGGGTTCGAGCGTGGGAGGTTCCGGAAGGTCTCGGTTTGAGATCCGATTCAGGAACCGCTGGCGCCACCCTGTTTTTTTTTTTTTTTTGAGATCCGGATATACTACTTTTGCGGGAACACGACAGGCTTCGATTGTTTAGTCGTCAGTACGCTCCATGGAATCGCGGACTCCTTCATGGGAGCTTGTGAACCCTTTTGGTGTCCCTTTGAAACTATGGTAAAGTCTCTGGAAGTCATTAGCCAGCTTGTGCTGTTTGATTCCAGATTGCAACATGAGGCGGGTTGGATTCCTTACATGTTTCCGTGCGGTTACAACGCAACGACTTGTGCTTGGCTCACCTGGAACAAATCCCGCAATCACCTTAAACAAACCCAAGTCTCAAGTAAGTGTACTTGCCCTTTTCAAGTCGTGTCCACTTTGAGAAGGTTGGGGTGGATGAGGCTCAATTTTGACTCACCCGTTTCACTCTTACATCTCGGGTTAACTTCCGCATTCTTTCCTGCCCTTCTTTCCAGTTCCGCACGAAACACCGAAGAAACGGCTGTTTTTTTTCAAAAGAACGATGCTTGAAAAGGATGGAACAGGAATCAACAGAATGACCATGGTTTGTGGGTTATGAAACACCCAGACTGCGCGGTTTGGAATCAACCCCTATACACTCTAGAGCACGACCCCCCAGGCTCCTGTTTCTCCCGCCCTTCTGGCCGCGACTGAACACACTCAGACTCTGGAGATCGCCTTTGAAACCATCAGCATGGCGGGCGCGATGGCCCAGAGGGCTTCAGCCTATTTACTCGCTCTTTTCTGAAACTGCCGATTTTTCCCATCGCCAATTCTCCAAACAGAAAGCTGCTTGAGAACCCTTTGATAAGTGAACCCTACAGATTGGATCATTGGGAAGCTGGGTGGCTTGGTCGCATCGCTGGGACCCTGATTCTTTTACAAAAACAACAGGGATAACTTCCCCTTTCTTTCCACATATCCTTTAGTAAAGGTCGCAAATGGTGAGCATGCTTTGTAGTGTAGGCTTGCAGATGGTTTGGGCAAGATTGGTATCTGGCATTGTGTGATCCCAGATCTCGGGAGGCGCCCCTTTTCCATTTTGGGTGCTAGCCAGAAAATTGGGCAACTGTTTCGCCCTTCCAAATCCACTGTGGGTCATTCTACAAAAGCTGAACCAATTTCAGTCACACTCTGTCCAGGGGTTCTGGAAAGCTTTAGAAAGTTTTTTAACATCGGAGCCGGTTTTCTTTGGGCTGCAGCTGCGCCCCAATTTTAGGCAGCCCTTTCCCTTCAGAACGATTCCCTTCCCTCCGGGGTATGCTGTTCAGGTAACCCTTCATGGTTTGAATTGGTGGAGATTTGAACCCCGGGTTCTGGAGGGTGAAATGGGAAACCACCCCCCCACCCATCGATCCAATCCCCAGACCTCCAGCTGACTGTACTCCTTCCCAATGGCTTCTGTTTTGGGGTGGTGTGTTGGGAAGGTACGTTGGCGGGTGCCTTCCATTTTTCCCAAACAAACACAGCCAGATTTGGTGTCACCCCGCTTGGGGCCTGCTTGTGGATATCGGGGTTTCGGCTGCCAGTTTCGGTTCCTGTTTTTTTGGGGGGGGACTCCCCGTAGAATCACTTCCGGGATTTTCCGCCGTGGGAATCAAATACTTTTGGTATCGCAGAAAGTGCTATTTTCGGGCTGCGGTCCTCAGCCATACCATACTTTATTTGGCCTTTGTGATTTACCCTGAGACTTTTCGACATTTGGCTTTGGGATTCATGACTCGCACAAGTCTCACTTGACCAACAAACAAGCAAACTACTTTTGGCGCTTGGGATTTACGATTCCCACGATAAGTCTCACTTTTAAGGGACTAGCGAAACAACAAGGTCCCCCCTCCTCAAGTGTCCACCAGTTCAACCCTGTAAAATCTGAGGTATCCAGATGTCGGACTTGAAGCGCATGCCCAAGCACATAGGCCGGGGCCTCACTGGCTCAAGGTCACAGTTAGTTGGGGGTTCTGTTTTTTGTCGATTAGGTATCTTCTTCAGGTCAGGTTGGTTTATACAAAAGCCAAAAGGACAACCCAAATCCGTGTTTGGAGTTCATCGATTTTGGCACAAGCTCATATGAATTGATCATGTTGGTGGTATGGTCCAGACTCCCAATTTCTTGCTGTGGGGGACGGTAGACCCCTGAAAGGGGAACTTAGAGGGAGCCATGACCATAGCCATGGCATGAGATGCACCTAACATGTATGTTGTTTCTTTTTGTTTGTTTGTTTTCTTCTTCCTCTCAGTTGTTGAGTCGAAAACCTTGGAGAAGTTTGTTGGCAGTTGTCTTTCTCGTTTTAGTACAGGCTTTCGGCTTCAAGCTTTTGCAGCCAACTTGGCAGGTCAGTTCTAATTGCTGAGTTGTTCCTCATTGTTCCCTGTTGCTTTTCATGGGACACTGTGCCATGACTTTCCGGGTACATTATCCTGTTGCATTTCCCCGGTTAGCAAATTGACATCATGGGCAAGTTGTTACGGCAAATGTCACGTTCAAGGTACGATGGCTGGTGCGGTACATTTTCACTTGCTAGTGAATTTGGCATTTGGCTATGACTTTCATTGGGTCACATACTCTTTCAAGTGGATGGGCACACACACACACACACGCCAAGTAATTTGTGTCCACAACCCGTCCCCCAAAAAGTCGAATCCCCGGATGGCATGGCGAAAAAAACACATGACGCGACGCGCGGAAAGCTCAGGGTGCTTCGTGGGTGTCAGCGGCTCCGAGTGGCCGGGGGCCTCAGGATCCAACCAACTGTTCAACACCCCCCACTACTTCCCACAACCGGAGCCTAAGATGGGACTCACTCCTTTCCAATTTGTGAAATAGTTTTTACCCCCTAATTAAAAAACCGTCCCTATTTTGCGGCTGAGGGGGGT